TCAGGGCCAGCCTGAGCTACATAGCAAGGGCCTGTCTCAAAAGGCAAACAAACAGGGCTAGGGATTTAAATACAGCCGTTTCACTTCCTGCCTTGCAAGCTTAAGGACCTGAGTTCGATCTACAGTACAAAAAATAAATAAATTGTACTTTTAAGAAGACAGCAACTTCAGGACACAATCAAAGTCACCACACCTGTTATCCCAGCACTCAGGAAGCTGGGGCAAGAGTAGTCAGATGCAGGGATTTCAAATGTTTTGGGGAAAAACAAATCATGCATTTTAATAAAATACAATGCACTGGGCCCATGCATTCCTCCTGAAAAGTGGGCCATTATCATTCTACCTGTTAGTGGGAACTTTTCTTGAATAGTAAAGTTTGTTTGTTTTGTTTATTTAGACAGGGTCTCCCTGCTGGTATGTAGTTCAGGCTTACTTCTAACACTCAATGATCCTCCTGCCTCAGCTTTCCAAACTCTATAAATTCACAAATCCCTCAGAGTCCCACCACTGAAAACATAAATAGTCCCAGCTCCAGACTAGTGTATTTTTCTCCCATTTGAGGGCCTACATTCTATTTCTTCAAGTGTGTACCTTTAAACTCTGCCTCATAAATCCCTTTACGCCTTTTACTGACAAATCGTGCAAGCTCTCTTTCTGGGATGGAAGTCAACGACCCTATAACCTGCCCCACGGGTGAGGTGAGTCCAGGTTCCACTTGAAGAACCTCCTTGAACCCTGTCCACTGATAAAACCATTTCAAAGTATAAATTCACTGACATTACATTCACAACATTGTGCAACCATTATCACTTCTATTTCAAAACCTTTTTCAGCCGGGCATGGTGGCGCACTCCTGTGATCCCAGCACTCAGGAGGCTGAGGCAGGAGGATCACTGTGAGTTCAAGACCAGCCTGGGCTACATAGTGAGTTCCAGGTCAGTCTCAACGACATAGTGAGACCCTGTCTCAAAAAACAAAAGAACAAACAAACAAACAAAAACCTTTTTCATTACCCCAAACAAGAGCTCTGTATCCATTAAGCAATAACTTTCCATTGTTCTCTAATTCTAGCCTCTAGTAATAACCTCACAAAAATCTCTCTCATTTTTATGTCTCTGTGAATTTGTTGTCAAATTCATTTAAATGGAATCATTTTTTTAAAAAGTCAAGTCATATAATATTTGTCCCACTTTTTTTTTTTTTTTGGAGACAGGGTCTCACTATGTAGCCCAGGCTGCCCTTGAACTTGTGGTGATCCTCCTCTTAGCTGCCAGGCATGCACCACCATGCCTGGCTTTGTGTCACTTAATGTTACCTATGGTATAACATCAGAACATCTCCCTCCCTCCCTCCCTCCCACCCTTCCTCCCTCCCTATCCCTCCCTTCCTTTTCTTTGTGGGGTACTGCAGATAGAACCCAGAGTCTTGAGCACCAGAGTCTAAGAAAATACTCTACTGTTATCAGACAGGATTCTAGGAAGTTCCTCAAGCTGAGATAAGGAAGGTATCTGAGCCACTTTACTAGCAAAATAGTTTTGTAGTATGGAAAAAGAATTTTTCACTAGTTAGTAAGAGACAAAGGAAGGCTTTTATTGGGAAAAAGTTCAAGAGAGAGAGAGAGAGGAGAGAGAGAGTCAGTCATTATTTCCTGGAACTGGGAACATTTGTTTCTCTACAGGTACAAGCCCAGTTTTTGTGTTTTTTGTTTTGGATTTTTGGTTTTGTGTTTGTGTGTGTGTGTGTGTGTGTGGTACCCGGGATCGAACTCAGGACCTTGTGCTGGTGAGGCAGGTGTGGTGCCACAGAGCTAAATCCCTGGCCCTTGAGCCCAGTTTTTAAAAAGTTTTATTGGTATATTTTAGATGCACACAATGACAACACTCATCACAGGGAATTTGTACCTGTACACGATCTAACTTGCTTCCCCCCATTTCCTCTCTCCTCTCTTCCATTCCTCTTCCCCTTCTTATTTACATTTTTTCTTTCCATTTTCCCCCTCTATTCCTTTTCTTTTCTTGTTCCCTTCTTTCCACTCCTCCTCCCCCTCCCTTGTTCCCCTTTCCATTTAACACTTTCTTTCTATTTCCCGATGTCTATTATACATTTTTGGTCCTTATTTGCACTTTGAATTTCTCACACCACAGCTTCCCAAGTGCTGGGGATCACAGGCGTGCACCACAGCGCCCGGCAAGTTTTCTTTTTAAAGACTGGTAATTTAAACTTTTTTTTTTTTTTTTTAAAA